TGAAACTGAATTTGATCCACATAGCAAACATTTTTTTCACAATGTTTTTAAAAACAACGTTTTTTTAGGCAAATACGGTAGAACAACTCAACAGAACCACATATCTTACGTCTTCTTCCCTGTCCTTGTTTGACATTGCACATAGAATGGAGGTCACACACAACCAAGAATGTAAATTACAGAACATATGGGAACGCCAGGACAGCCTCACACATAATAATGTCTTCTAAGCTGTTTCCTTTGATCGTGTTAATTCTAAGCAGACTGCTTCTATGCATTAAATACGCGATTTATGTCATTCTGTTATTCAATTTGAATAAGAGAGTACTTTGGTAAAACTGATTTCTCTCCGTAAACTAGTCTATTCGTAAACATGGTGCAGAGATTAGAGATTGCGCACAAAGGTCTCACGCTTCCTGGTGTTCTCTTTACTGAGCGTAGTTTAGTTTATGCCAAGAAACCTTTCACACTATTTAAACCTGCTGGTTAACGCATGTATTTCATGTCTCTTTGGGAAAATATTTCTCACAGTCAACACCACTGGCATTATCTACGTTTTGTGAGATTAGAGGCAATCGTTTTGTGCCTGTCTAGGATTTACAGCTCGTGTCTATGTTTCCATCTGTCTTTCGAAAGTGTTCTTGGAAGAAGAAAACTTCCAGCAATTCGTAGATCTCTGACCTTCCTCAGGTGAATAGTGTAATACATTTTCCGATTGTAAACGTGTTCGCTGTTTGTACAGTACTGCAATATGGATAAAATAATGGTCATCTTGAAATAGCAGACAGCGTACTTGGGTTCAAGTGAGTGAATTTAATTTCGTGTGAATGTTATGTATCTAGCTTCTATCAATTGTCTTCGAAATATGTTTGATTCATATTCTATTTTTGCTGTGCATGTCGTTCCCGTAAATTTTCTCCTGGTCTATCATTTATGGAATCTTTTCTCTGTAAGTAAAACCAGGCTCATATATAATGTTGAGAAATAATAATTGTTATGAGAGTGTGTATTATTGTAATCAGTAATTTGTAACATCATATTGATTAAGTGATAGTTATTATGGATCACAATGCTTAAAGTTTTGAGTGTGGGTTTTGGCTCGCATCTCGCGTCATATATGTTCAATAGTAATAGTATATTTAGCGGTACGCCTTTTGAGATAGCGCTTCAGAGTTGCCTCCCTTGGCAATCTTGTTTATTTACGACTTTCATCATGGCGTGTGTTCCACATGATTCCATAATGTTCCGAGAGAATAATGATGAATCCTAGCTTTGCTAGAATTCTCGAGAACTGTGTAAGAGCTATATAAAGGCTGGTTGTTGAGTTATGCGGACTTTTCATATCACTGGATTTATGTACATTTGTCTGCCATCGTCAACATTTCAAGCCCGATCGTGCTTGCCTAGTCGTCTTCTGTCATTGTTAACAACCTTCATTCAGTATATCTGCTCTCACTGTAAATGTCAAGACTCTGGTGAGTTAATATTTATATTTGTGACCCAATATTGTAGATTTGTGACTCAATTGTATTGTACTAGATATATTATTGGATATTTTAGACTTGTCTGTATTCTATTTTGCTGGTTCAAAGGGGACTTTTAAACCTTTTGTCACGGCAATTTATTAACCCTAAACATAATTAAATCTGCATAATTTTTTTATGCATTTGATCAGATGCAAAAGTCAATGACAAGATAATTTGTTTTCAGTTAAATGTGTTCTCTGGAGGTGGTCACTTTTTCATCAATCAGTTAGTTTTGTGCAGTTTCATATTATGCATTTTCATTACCATTGCAGTAAGCTGACAATTAATCATTTACGTTTCCATGACAAATCTTAAATAAACGTACCTCACTACGCCGGGCTCAAAATGAAATTATTCTATCGTATAATTTGATCAAATTAAAAAAGCTCAACAATAAACATGAAAACACTTGATTCACTGGAACGTGTTTTTTGCTCTGTTAAGCAATGAATAATCTCCTGAGGAATCAATTATATTGGTTTACTCTTTGATCATTTTCACTTTCACTCCTACGATCGATAGCGATGCTGAATGTAATGGAAGAGGAAACTCCAACAAATCATCGTTCCTTGCTTTTGAGTTGAGTGCAGAAAACACCCGAACGTCAACCGAGTGATGACTACGGGGCATGAATAACAAAATTACAAGCTTCTTGTCAATATGATAGCTATATGACAGAGTCATGAATAGAATCGAGTCTGGACGCGATAATCCATTGATTGGTATCATGGACAACGATCCACACTATCGGGACATGACTGCATTACAGTATGAATTCAGCTACCTGATTCATTGACTAAATTACCACCCCGGATGTTTTTAACAGAATCTACGGTAATGCCAGAATTTCTTCACACACAAGTTTTGTTAAGATGTTCCTATGATCTCATTAATCCTCACCAGTCTGCTCCTTACATTTGATAGAATCTTGATGTGTCATTTGATACCATTGAGTTTCTTTGTCAGCCTGATGCAGAAGCGCGTTCAATGTGCTGCTTTTGTCGCCCACAGCGGGCTCATGGCTCTATTCAGGCTCGTTTACGTTGACCAAAAGCACCTTTCCCCAGCATAAATATACCGTTTGTTTCACTATATTATCGCATTTATCCCAAGTCCCTTCGTGAAAATATTTCGTGTTTTTCTTCTTGAAAAGTGAAAAACACTAAAGCAATTATTAACGAAAGCTCTTATGCGTTATTCACTGAGCCCTTTCTCTGCTATGTAAAACCATACTTGCATGTTTATCATAATGCAAAACAAACAGTCATGAATCTGTTTCCGACTGAATGTGCTGGGTCCACAACTGCGTTTTTTAAATAAATCACTTAATTTTGAGCAGTGTCTTGTGAAGTATATTTGGGTCACTTTCTCCATATGATTTCAATAAATAATCACCTTAAATATATAAATATAGGGTTCAATGCCAGACGGAAAATGGACTTTTTATGTTAATTAAAAAATCAACAACATGAAATGCTCAGCAATCGTGTCAGCCATCAAGGCTGTTATTTTGTAAGTTACAAATGGAAACGGTTAGCAAAACGTGAATCTCACAGTAACCTACTTCCCAAAGTACCTTTGGCTGCCTGTTTCAAGTAAATGTGAGACATAGGTTCAACAGTCACCTTGCATCGCCTATATGCCAGTGGTGGTGAATGGAAAAGTGAAAAAGTAAGGACATGTTTAAAATTATGCATAAACCATTGAGGTATTGACAGTAAGTGACACTACATTTAAAACACGGTGAGCCAGTTGACGTTTTTGATGTCCATAATTCAATCAATCATACTGTAAGATGTACCTGTGAATGGATGCCCTTTTTTCAGCTGATATTGTAGCACTCACGACGATCAGAAAAAAACTGCCATCACATCATATACAAAAATACAAAAAATATGGGATATTTCCGTTTTGCCTCAACACACATGTTACCCGTGTAATATAGACAAAACGAATGAAACAAACAAAATTAAGTTAAGGCATATTTAAATATGTGATTTCAAGTTCAATGCCTGGTTTAGTACTGAAATACCTCACACGTGTAGGAGCGTACCGCATATTCACAGATACCATACTCATTCTCAACCAGTGCCAGTACCTTTATCATATGTTCTTCTATTACTTGTGTGTGGTATAAGCCCCAGTCAGCAATACTGTAATCCTGTTAGCGAAATGTAGATGCACAACGTCAATTCTAAAGAATGACTAGACACTGTTACATTTGTAATTAAAGTGGACAAACAATAAAGTTGTTATCATAAACTTTCCAAAGAGTTTGGACACAGGAAATATGTCATCACAATTACAAGAAATGCAGTAAAGTAAATTTAGGCATATCAAATATAATAATAATTCAAAAGATCGTGGTGGCGAATATGACAACTGATAATATGTGGTATAAGAACCCTTACAGGCGATGAAAGTTACCAAACCATACAATGCATGTGTGAAACATTCCACAGATGTTTCGCATCGTGGTCAGATGTAGTTAGACGAGCAATGCAACTAGAGAACTCTCCACCGTAATAACTAAGTATTTTCAACACGGGCTACTTCCGAATTTGATTGCTGATTAAATAAGGAGGACGTGATTGAAATACGGGCTTTATTCCCATTTCGCCTCAATTTAAGGGTTCCAAAGGAAAGAAAAAATCGAACGTAGGACTGTAAATCAAACCAGAGAGTCTTTTCAAAATTGCATTTAAAATTAGATATATAATGATATGGTAACCCCTCAGGCAAACAGCCACTCTAAGTTAACCGTATGCACTTGATACATATGTAACCATAAAAATGGTTTTCATTGCACCAATCAACCATTTTGCAAATCATGGCACGGGTCACTGACAAGTACACAACACCTGTCAATAGCAGGTATGGGATCCACAAGATGCAGTGACAAAATGAAAACTTGGATCCATGCTTACAATAGGCTTAGATATTTAAACCAAATTTGACCTCATAGTTTTTCTGTTGAACCAATGATTTGATCCTGAGTAAAGTGTGAATAGTATGTATATATTGTGTTATCGGTAGAACTCTGAGAACGTATTCAGCCCCATATCTGGACTGTCAGATGATGGAGTGAAGAATGATGATTGTCAAACCTGGAATCACCCGTGAATCTTACTCAGTATCTGGAGCAATCACCCCTCTCAGCAGGGTGTCCTCATTATGGAAATTAGACGTCTGAGTCGCAGACCCTCTGCCATTCCTGGTACAGTGCCTAGGTCAGTACATTCAGGTTTCTCTGGGATGTATCCGGCTCTTACTTACGAGTTAATCCTAAATGAGTTCAGTTAATGGAATCTGTAAGTGCGTTTTGGATTGTTGTTTGTTTTGAGAATACGGTTTCAGATGGCTTGCATAACCGTTGTCCATTATTCAAGCATCTATGGTAGTTATAAACTGCCCTATTGTTCTAATGATCTTATTAACGGTCTCGTGGCAACACGGTGACTTTAATACCGGTTTTATTGACATTTGTAGACACTCCTATTCTTCAGTAGGAGTAATCACCCACATGATAAAATCGCTTTCACACATCAAATCGTTTCACTAGACAGTACAATGTAATAAATTGCTCATTTGCTTGAGCAAGAACGCGTTTTCTCTCAGTTGTTTATGGTGTTGGTTCCCCTCGGCGTATTTTCGGTTTTAATGGCGACAGGCTGAGTACAGTAAACAGACCATTACGATGCAATCAATTTATCTTACGTCTTCTCGTGTAGATAACTGCTTTTTGGACCTTTCTTCGGAAAGATGAACATTGTTTCCGGCTTGAATATTTGCTTTTACTAGTTCAAAATACGGTTCGGGCGATGGGGTAGCCTGGAGGTTAAAGCGTACACTTGTCACGCCGAACACCCGGGTTCGATTCCCCAAATGGGTACAATGTGTGAAGCCCATTTCTGGTGTCCCCCGCCGTGATATTGCTGGAATCTTGCTAAAAGCGGCGTAAAACCATACTCACTCACCCACTCACTAAATATACGGTAGATAAGTTGTGCTGCAAAGGGATCTTTTTCAGATATACTATCGACTTGCCTTTGCTGAGTGAGTGAGTTAAAATGTATAGTCACATCGGCAATATTTCAGCCATATCGTGACCTTAACAAATTACAAATTCACAATAAATGCAATCAAATCATGAAAAAACCTGTCAACGAAGGACAGTAAAATCACTACATTATTATAGATAGAGAAGTAAAACTAGTTTTTAACTGTGAAATTAAACACATTTTATGAACAACACAATATATAAAAACGGGCTAGAGATCGCCAACATCTGAAGGTAGATCACCATACTAGGAGCCATGGGGACTTACAGTGCCTTTGCTACCTACATGGACACCTAGTTGGATTTACACCATCCATTCAGCCACTGGCGATTATAGGAAATTTAACCTAAATTTAAAATAACAGAAATTCTAAATTGAAAATGTGGTAAGTTCAAATTTACTTTAAATGTTTCGGGACTGACGTACCCTCTCAGGAGGACAATAATTTTACAATACTTTAACCCCCTTCGAGGGTACATCCACCAACAATCAAACATATTAATCAAAATTCACCAATTAAATCAATTTCTTTACAAAAATGAATAATTAAGTGAAAATAAACATTTGTAAAAATATCCTTTATTGTTTTCACATTGAAATATTCATCCCTTATAATGGAGAATTCAACACAGTCAACCTTTGCTGAGTACAGTAAACAGATGATTACGATGCAACCATTGCATCACACGTCTTGTCAAGATAACTGTTTTTTTAGTTTTCTTTTTAAGGTTGTTTCCTGTTTAAATAAAGTATTTGCTTCTACTAGTCCAATATACGGTAGGTATGTTGTCTTGTAAAGAGATGTTTTTAGATCGACAGTTGGCTTGCCTTTGCACGTGTTTGTGGTGGCTGGGTAGGATTCGTTTGACCTTTTGTGAACGTCTGGTATCATACTAGTTGACAGTGATACACAAACAGATGCTCAGATTTGTTTGATGCCAATAAACGACCTCTTTTGACATTCAAACATGTGTTTTATAACGTAAAGCCACAAAAATGGTTTAAATGTATTTTGCATTTCGATTTTGGAAGTACCATAGGCTACATTCTCAATTATAGGTAAACCCAGGCAGGCTTCCAATTTCACAAAATGTGGAACGAACAGCTTTGGCGTTTGTTATGTAGGCTTACTTAAAACTAGAATGAAAAAATGGTGTAATTCGAATTTGGCATCCAATAGAGAATGGCTCAGTGCCAGGCTTTATTTTCAGTTGGTTAATGATGAGAATGTTTTTTGCCATGCGACCATGTCAATTTACTGGCAAATTTTCTTCGGCTCATCTCTCGTGTCTCCTCCATTAGTGGCTAAATACATGACTCACTCACTAAAAAGAATGACATAATCTCTAAAACGAGCAACGGTAATGTGTGTTACCTTCTGCACGTTCATGTAAGATACATCTGTTGTAATGGCATGTTTAACACATGGAGCAGGATAAGACAACGAATTCGATAGGTATAGCATGATAAGACTGATTGCCCCTCTCAGCAATGTTCCAGCTATATGTCGGCAGCCTGAAAATAATCGAGCCAGGACCAGACAATACATGAGCATCGTTCTTCGCAAGTGGGATACGATGAGATGTGTCAACCAAGTCAGCGAGAATGACCACCCGATCCCGTTCGTCGCCTTTTACGACAAGCATGGGTTATTGAAGACCAGTCCCAACTAGGATCTTCCCGGGTAGCGTCATAAGAATGTGTTGCCCAGTTGATGTATAATTATAGCTGCTGGATCGTTCTTCATGATGTCATCTACTTGTTTACCTGCTACAAATATGATATACAGTTTATACTTTGCAAAAGGCGGCGTCAAAGAACAACCCCTCACGACGCCTGATCTTCTTCATGTCACTACATGATTCTGACATATACCCTATCTAATAATGACTGACTGAGTATGGTTTTACGCCGCTTTTAGCAATATTCCAGCAACATCACGGCGGGGGACACCAGAAATGGGCTTCACACATTGTACCCATGTGGGGATTCGAAGCCGGGTCTTTGGCCTGACGAGCCAACGCTTTAACCATTAAGCCTATCTAAAAATGAACCAAAGTAGAACTTGACCGTTGTCAAATGGACGACCACAAGTAGTGTGTGAATAAGTTTGACAAAATGATGTGTATCATACTGTTATTAACCAGGTTCCGATTTCTCTGCTGTTCACAGTGAAATTCGCAAGGTATTGTTTTTTCGAATCGACGGGCATTAACAGGTCGTCTTAAGTCATATTTTGAAAAAACGAAGCATATCTACAACATAAATCCCTGCAAGAAACCTTTAAGCAGTGTGCGATTCACAATGACGTGATTGTGAGATGCATTCATTTTTTTAGTCAGTTAGTTTTGTGCAAATATGTATTTATTCAAATAGAATTTTAAAATACTGATTTGATCCTAAAACCCTGCGCAAATCACACTCTATTTTGTGAGACAGCCACGATAAACTGTTTTTATGGCAAAGCAAATCAATCTTCATGGTATCTAATATAATCAGTATCTTCATAATTTTAATTTGTTTTAGCTCAACAGATTTTTCTACCAGTGTGAAATATAAGCATATTCTTGTCAAAGGTCCCTCTACAGTCCAAATCGTTTGCGGTGGCCCTTATTTGCTGTTCAGCTTGGCATCGATTAGATGTACCCTATGATCATGTGTTCCAATCCCCACTCTCCCTGATTCCTATTGAGTTCAATTAAAAGTTTTCCAACTCACAATATATTTTCACATGTTGATTTATGAAGTTTAAGGCATTCTGTACGGAGTACTTATTTGATGATGTTTAAAAAATGCCTTTCAATGCTAAATACCTGAAACTTCCTCATAGCAGGTTTGGCCTCAAGTTTGAAATGTGAAGAAATTTGCAATAAATCTGATTTGCGCAAGGCACCGACTGTCTCAGGGTCAGGGGACTTAAGAAACTTCCCAAGTTTAAACACCATTTTGCGGGTTTCACAATTACCTTGTTGCAAAATTGCCGAATTTTGAAATAACACGTCACAATTTAATTCTGGACTCACAAAAGTCCAGAAACTCTCCGCACTGTGGGCACTTTCTGACAAGGGATTTGACCTAATTAAACATGCAGTTGTTATGAATATATGCCAAGGATGAAAAAATGAAAAAAAATTCTTTCGAAAACTTTAAATTTAAACTCGCTCGCCCATGGGCAGGCCCATGGGCGAACAGTGGCCCATGGGCGAGAATGTTTAATTTCGATCAGAATTCATGTTTTGGAGGTTGCAAATGAATGAATGTATGTTTATAAGTATCATGAAACAAAATTCAACTCATTTTGACTTAATTCGACTAATTTAGAGCGATATTAGGGGAATCTCGCCCATGGGGCGAAAAACAGTTTAGCCCATGGGCGAGAATATTGACTTTTACTAAAAATATGTGTTTTTCCATGTTTTGGAAGTTGTAAATGAATGAGTGTATGTTTGTTAGCATCATGAAACAAATTCCAACTCATTTTGACTTAATTCGACTAATTTAGAGCGATATTAAAAAATCTCGCCCATGGGCGAAAAACATTTTGGCCCATGGGCGAGAATATTGACTTTTACTAAAAATATGTGTTTTTCCATGTTTTGGAAGTTGTAAATGAATGAGTGTATGTTTATAAGTATCATGAAACAAAATTCAACTCATATTGACTTAATTCGACTAACATAGAGCGATATTAAAAAATCTCGCCCATGGGCGAAAAACAGGTTGGCCCATGGGCGAGAATATTTACTTTTACTCAAAATATGTGTTTTTCCATGTTTTGGAGGTTGTAAATGAATGAGTGTATGTTTGTAAGCATCATGAAACAAATTCCAACTCATTTTGACTTAATTGGACTAATTTAGAGCGATATTAAAAAATCTCGCCCATGGGCGAAAAACATTTTGGCCCATGGGCGAGAATATTGACTTTACTAAAATATGTGTTTTCCATGTTTTGGAAGTTGTAAATGAATGAGTGTATGTTTATAAGTATCATGAAACAAAATTCAACTCACATTAACTTAATTCGACTAACTTAGAACGATATTAAAAAATCTCGCCCATGGGCGAAAAACATTTTGGCCCATGGGCGAGAATAATGACTTTTATTCAAAATATGTGTTTTTCCATGTTTTGGAGGTTGTAAATGAATGAGTGTATGTTTATAAGTATCATGAAACAAAATTCAACTCATATTGACTTAATTCGACTAACTTAGAACGATATTAAAAATCTCGCCCATGGGCGAAAAATAGGTTGGCCCATGGGCGAATATTTACTTTTACTAAAAATATGTGTTTTCCATGTTTTGGAGGTTGTAAATGAATGAGTGTATGTTTATAAGTACCATGAAAACAAAATTCAACTCATATTGACTTAATTCGACTAACTTAGAGCGATATTAAAAATCTCGCCCATGGGCGAAAAATAGGTTGGCCCATGGGCGAGAATAATGACTTTTACTCAAAATATGTGTTTTTTCCATGTTTTGGAGGTTGTAAATGAATGAGTGTATGTTTATAAGTATCATGAAACAAAATTCAACTCATATTGACTTAATTCGACTAACTTAGAACGATATTAAAATCTCGCCCATGGGCGAAAAATAGGTTGGCCCATGGGCGAGAATATTTACTTTTACTCAAAATATGTGTTTTTCCATGTTTTGGAGGTTGTAAATGAATGAGTGTATGTTTGTAAGCATCATGACACAAATTTCAACTCATTTCGACTTAATTCGACTAATTTAGAGCGATATTAAAAAATCTCGCCCATGGGCGAAAAACATTTTGGCCCATGGGCGAGAATATTGACTTTTACTCAAAATATGTGTTTTTCCATGTTTTGGAGGTTGTAAATGAATGAGTGTATGTTTATAAGTATCATGAAACAAAATTCAACTCATATTGACTTAATTCGACTAACTTAGAACGATATTAAAAATCTCGCCCATGGGCGAAAAATAGGATTGGCCCATGGGCGAGAATATTTACTTTTATTCAAAATATGTGTTTTTTCCATGTTTTGGAGGTTGTAAATGAATGAGTGTATGTTTATAAGTATCATGAAACAAAATTCAACTCATATTGACTTAATTCGACTAACTTAGAACGATATTAAAAATCTCGCCCATGGGCGAAAAATAGGTTGGCCCATGGGCGAGAATATTTACTTTTATTCAAAATATGTGTTTTCCATGTTTTGGAGGTTGTAAATGAATGAGTGTATGTTTATAAGTATCATGAAACAAAATTCAACTCATATTGACTTAATTCGACTAACTTAGAACGATATTAAAAATCTCGCCCATGGGCGAAAAATAGGGGTTGGCCCATGGGCGAGAATAATTACTTTTACTCCAAAATATATGTTTTCCATGTTTTTGGGTATGGTGGTTTATCCCTTATTATAAACATATTAATTATTACTTTAGCTCTCACCTACCTCATCATATGTAGTCACTAGGCACTTAAAACATTAGAAGTAATGCCATGAAATGTGGCTCGTCAATGGTATGCGTGTACGAACAGATAATATCAAAACATACACGTCAGAACAGTCAAAATTAAGAAATTGTTGAATATGAAATATTACTGTTAATTTGTAATTCTTGGAACATAAACAGTATTGTGAGAGCTTAAAATGTAACTGCATTGAAATATGTCTTGTCAATCCTATTGACATTTGCCAATAACCACTTCCAAATAAAATAAATAGTCCATGCTGCTTCAGAACAAATAAAGGTCAATTAGGGAGCCCCAACTGGGTAATTAAGGAGAGAAGTCAATACACTGTCACTTCCTGCCCAGGACGTCACACGTCACCACTCGGGAGCGAAGGGCCTTGTCAAACCTCCTCACAAAGGAAACAAAAGCATCAAAACTGTGTTTTATTCTACGTGACACTCGGTATGTCGTCATAGTATTCATTGTTGAATAACTTCTATCGTGGGCAACCCCACACTTGCGAGGTGTACCTACCCAGGTTCGCACGTTTCGTTTTAATATTTTGTGATCAATTATTTTGTAATTCCCGTCTGCCCGTCACGGCTATTCTTCGCCCGAGGTTTAAGGGAGTGAGTCTATTATATTAATTGTATTTTTTATTGTGTCGTTTAACGAGCTGGACACGGAGTGCTGTTATCATGAATGTTATCATATATTAGTGGGATGCATTGATAGTAATGAAAACTTATAAGAAGATATTGTATCTCAACATACAAACCTATCCCGATAGCTCTCATCGTCACTCTCATGTCAATCCATTGTGACTGTTGCAGTCCTCCTGTACATCCTGTATATATAAGCAAGTTGGGGTTTTTTATTTAGGATTTATTATTGCTAAACACACATTTAACCGAGATGAAGAAGGGGTCTCAAATTCCATGTATGCTTTTGCTCTCATAAGTTAGACATCCCATTTGTCAGACACGCCAATTATCAGACAACTTTGGATCAATCAGGCGTGACTGTGATTACAAACCTAGTTTTACCCAGTGGCGTAATAGACCCGTCCCATAGACTAACGAGATGTTTTCATATTAGTGGTTAGTGGTATATTTTAACACTAATTATGAGTTTGTTACTTTTGTGCAGAAATACTTTGATCAGAATACTAATATTAATTGACTTCTCGGCTTCTCACAGTTTGTGTTCATAATGTTCACTTTGATCAAAACAGGATTATAGATTTCCCATGTAACTAATTGAGTTACTCCCAGCGGTACAATGGTGGATACGAATGGCTGTTGGGCTTCCTCTGCTCCCCTATGAATAACTGACAAGAAACTTGAAACCAAGATGGAGTAAACAGTTAAAACATAAACTCAATGAAGCTGCAGGTTTGCACATTAACAATAAAAAATCAAAACAACACAAATATTTAATAAGAATAAATAACCATCACTAAGCTATCGATAGTCACACATTCTATTGATGGATCGATAATTTTCATTTCTACCATCGATTAATTGCTTTCGGAATAATTGCAATTCATCGATAGTTTGATGCATCATTACAGCCCTATTAATTATATGGCTTAATATATTCTTAAGCACATAACTTTGTTAAAGGTAACAGTGCAGTGTACCTGCGTGCAACCAACCATAACTTATGTTGATTTGACGTGTCTGGGACGTCTAACTGATCGGAGGACACCAGAGAGTAAGTTGCATGCAATATTTTTAATATTGCCCTTGTGGATTGCCATTATGATTTGCACATTATGTTTTGCAGACAGTGTACATCACTATCTATGTAATTGTATTATTGTTATGGTGAGTGAGTGAGTTTGGTTTTACGCCGCTTTTAGCAATATTCCAGCAATATCACGGCGGGGGACACCAGAAA